GGGGGATATGATCTCCATGTATAATACATAAGGGGGATATGATTTCCATGTATAATACATAAGGGGGGATATGATCACCATGTATAATACATAAGGGGGGATATGATCACCATGTATAATACATAAGGGGGATATGATCTCCGTGTATAATACATAAGGGGGGATATGATCTCCATGTATAATACATAAGGGGGGGATATGATCTCCATGTATAATACATAAGGGGGGATATGATCTCCATGTATAATACATAAGGGGAGATATGATCTCCATGTATAATACATAAGGGGGGGGGGGGGATATGATCTCCATGTATAATACATAAGGGGGATATGATCTCCATGTATAATACATAAGGGGGGATATGATCTCTATGTAATAATACATAAGGGGGGATATGATCTCCATGTATAATACATAAGGGGGGATATGATCTCCATGCATAATACATAAGGGGGGATATGATCTCCATGTATAATACATAAGGGGGGATATGACCTCCATGTATAATACATAAGGGGGGATATGATCTCCATGTATAATACATAAGGGGGATATGATCACCATGTATAATACATAAGGGGGGATATGATCTCCATCTATAATACATAAGGGGGGATATGACCTCCATGTATAATACATAAGGGGGGATATGATCTCCATGTATAATACATAAGGGGGGATATGATCTCCATGTATAATACATAAGGGGGGATATGATCTCCATGTATAATACATAAGGGGGATATGATCTCCATGTATAATACATAAGGGGGGATATGACCTCCATGTATAATACATAAGGGGGGATATGATCTCCATGTATAATACATAAGGGGGAGGGATATGATCTCCATGTATAATACACAAGGGGGGGGGGTATGATCTCCATGTATAATACATAAGGGGGGGGATATGATCTCCATGTATAATACATAAGGGGGGATATGATCACCATGTATAATACATAAGGGGGATATGATCTCCATGTATAAAATACATAAGGGGGGATATGATCTCCATGTATAATACATAAGGGGGGGATATGATCTCCATGTATAATACATAAGGGGGGGATATGATCGCCATGTATAATACATAAGGGGGGATATGATCTCCATGTATAATACATAAGGGGGGATATGACCTCCATGTATAATACATAAGGGGGATATGATCTCCATGTATAATACATAAGGGGGGGATATGATCTCCATGTATAATACATAAGGGGGGGATATGATCTCCATGTATAATACATAAGGGGGAGGGATATGATCTCCATGTATAATACATAAGGGGGGGGGGATATGATCTCCATGTATAATACATAAGGGGGGATATGATCACCATGTATAATACATAAGGGGGATATGATCTCCATGTATAATACATAAGGGGGGATATGATCTCCATGTATAATACATAAGGGGGGGATATGATCTCCATGTATAATACATAAGGGGGGGATATGATCGCCATGTATAATACATAAGGGGGGATATGATCTCCATGTATAATACATAAGGGGGGATATGACCTCCATGTATAATACATAAGGGGGGATATGATCTCCATGTATAAATACATCAGTGGTTCATATAGTGAACTCGGTGTAGAGTTATTCACCCTGAGGTCATCACAGAGGACAAGGGGGCACTCTTTACGTCTGGAGGAAAAGAAATTTAATCTCAAAACATGGAAATATTTCTGCATAGTAAGAGCTGTGAGAATGTGGCATAGACTCCCTCATGAGTTGGTTCTGGCCAGCTCAGTAGATTGCTTTAAAAAAGTCCTGGATTATTTCCTAGATACACAGAATATAACTGGATATAACATTTATAGGTAAAGTTGATCCAGGGAATATCCGATTGCCTCTCGGGGGATCAGGAAGGAATTTTTTCCCCTGCAGGAGAAAATTGGATCATGCTTTTCTGGGTTTTCTGCCTTTATCTGGATCAACTGTGGGTGTAGGATTATAATTTTTTTTTTTGGTTGAATTGGATGGACTTTTGTCTTTTTTCAGCCAGACTAACTATGTAACTATGTGTATGTAGATGGGTTTTGCCATCTGACTGCCCTCTCCCCTTATCTGTGTGCAATTACTCACTCAGTCCTCTCCTGTAAGCTTGTGGGTTGGTGGATGCCTTCATGATTTACACTGGTCTGGCCTCTTCCCTGCTTCCCAGGGTGTCTTCTCTCAGGGGACAGTTATGACTGAGAGATCCTCCTTCCAAGACCTTGCCTGCAGATGGTCCCCTCCCAGAGCCCCCTCTCAGGTTCCACACTCCAGCCTTCTCACACCATCTTCCACCTGACACTGACCACTTCCTGATAAGGCTCTCCCATACTTAGGGCTGCCCTGACCCCATGCTAAGCCTCCTGCTTGGAGATTGGTCAGAATCCCCTGAGTATGCAGATCAGCCCCTCCTTACCCCAATGTCAGGGCAGGAACGATGGAATGGGCAGGCAGGCCTATGGTAAGGTCACGCAGCGACTGACGACAGCCACTACCCACAGACCAGAGTCCCTCAGGCCGCGGAGTCTAAGCCCCAGGCTACCCTTCACCAGAGTCCCTGATGGTGGGGATGGACCTGATGCAGCCTGAAACCAGGTCGCAGCCCCCAAGTAACCCCAGCTGCGGTAACGACTGCCGCCAATGGCGTACAGCTGGTGGGAGCTAGATGGGAACACGTGTAGCATAGTCAGACAGGCCGGGTCAATAACAACAGAGCAGACAGTACTAGACGGTAGGCAAAGAATACTCAGGTCACGGGCCGGGTTCAGCAACAGGAGGTCAGGTAAAGGGTTAAAGCAGCGAATAGTCTTTTCCAAGCCGAGTCGGTTACCAGGAGAGCAATGAGAACAGCACAAGAGCTTGCGACAAGGAAACATACAGGACACGAGTGCAGAGAGCACTTGCAGACAGCATGCTTAAATGTGATCAACCACACCCTTCTGAGGAGGAGCCGCAGAAGCCTGAAGGCATAAAGGTTCCCACCATGCTTTGCAGAAACCTAATATGGATGCCAGTACATGGAGTTGCACAAGCTCTGAGGAAAGGTAGGACCTTGACACACCCCACCCACTGCCTTCTAGAAACTTCTCAAGCATCTAGAGGAGGGGGAGGTATCAGGGAACTGACCTGCAGAGCCCTCATCCCTGACCTAAAGTTACCTGGCTGACTCATCCCAGGCTGCTATCCAGTCTCTAACTAAAAAAAAAAATACCTAGCTAGCTCCCCAAGGATAACTAGAGGGGCGCTACACGCATAATTTTTTTTAAAAAAGGTGCGCAAACTCCTATGTTGCTATATCAACAGTTACAATTTATGTCTCATCGCCTATTTATATATGTGAAAACAATAAAATAGAAACCAGTGTGAAAATCCACCTTAAATATTAGTAAAGTACACAGCGTGACCAAAAATTCCTAAACAATTTTACATACAAATAAAAGTGAAAATAAAAAAAAGAATGAATAAGCAGAAAAAACATAAAAAGCATAAAAAGCCTACTCCCAGCGTCCCATTATGGACCAAAAAAGGCTACCAAGCCACCAAATAACCAGACACGCCACCTCCTTACTAGATCAGCAAGATCAAAAGCGCTTGAACACGTACATACATAAGATCACTCCCAGGGTCCACTGCCACTTTCCAAACACATCCAAGCAATCCAAAATTTGCAAGAAGTGTTAGCGTCTCCCCAGGAATAGTAGGAAGAAAACAATAGGAGACCATAGACTACATAAATTGCTTCTAGTTCTGCCTTAAGTGAACCTGAATGCACAAGTCATCCGTGGCCTACAGGTTACAGCAAGACATATGTGCGAATGCAAATACGTGTCTGGGGACCTCGTGTGTTACAGAGCAGATGGTCCCTCTGGGAAGCACTTTGGCCTATCTAGGGTCCCTTGGGGCTTTTACCGAGGCAATGCTAGCATTACTAGTATATGTCACTTGAAATGTTAGAATTGCCTCATCTGTTCAACCACAAAGGAAATTGCTAAGTGCAAAAAAAAATATATAAAAATGCTATGCTGGGGCATACTTAGAGCAGAAATTGTGTACAGAAATGTCCTAATACTGGTTAGGTTCGTACGACCAATGTTCCATTCATGGTGTCAACATGTAGAAAAGGAGAAGCTAGGACAAGAATCTATATCAGGACTATTCGAGAAAGAAAACGGCAGTTACTGTGTAACGTGACATGTAAAGACGGTTCGGTTCACTTTAGGAATTGCACAGAAATGTGTTGCGCATTTCTGTGCGATTCACATACAGTTCAGTGCGGTGCGATTTGAGCCCATTCATTTTGATTCGGCTCAGATCTCACTGCACCGCACCAAAAGTAGTGCATGCACTACATTAGGAAACGCACCGCAAATGGATCTGGATCTGGTACAGGCATATGCAATGCGTCTGCAACATACGCTTGGGGTGTTGTTAACTTAACACTAACACCCGCTGCGAATTGCAATTGCAGTGTGATTGAACACAGGTGTGGGAAACGTACATGGAACCCAAGTTTCCCGCACTGAATTCTGGAGTGAACAGGTCCTAAACCAATTATTCCATTTTTCACACACATGTAAATATACACATTTGTGGAATGAATATGCATTCAAACTACACGAAAAGAGATAACTAGCGCATGGCTGTCTCTTTCCTTAAAGTGTTACTAAACCCAGGACCCTGCATTCCCTATATCCGGTCTCCCCGGACCCTGCATTCACTATATCCGTTCTCCCGGACCCTGCATTCACTATATCCGCTCTCCCCAGACCCTGAATTCACTATATCTGGTCTCCCCAGACCCTGCATTCACTATATCCCTATATCGGTCTCCCCGGACCCTGCACTCACTAAATCCGGTCCCCCCAGACCCTGCACTCACTATATCCGGTCTTCCCGGACCACGCATTCAGTATATCAGGTCTCCCAGGACCCTGCATTCACTATATCTGGTCTCCCCGGACCCTGCATTCACTATATCAGGTCTCCCCGGACCCTGCATTCACTATATCTGGTCTCCCCAGACCCTGCATTCACTATATCCGCTCTCCCTGGACCCTGCATTCACTATATCCGGTCTCCCCGGACCCTGCATTCACTATATCTGGTCTCCCCCCACACCCTGCATTCACTATATCCGCTCTCCCCGGACCCTGCATTCACTATATCCGCTCTCCCTGGACCCTGCATTTACTATGTCCGGTCTCACTGGACCCTACATTCACTATATCTGGTCTTCCCAGACCCTGCATTCACTATATCTGGTCTCCCCGGACCCTGCATTCACTATATCCGCTCTCCCCGGACCCTGCATTTACTATATCCGGTCTCACTGGACCCTGCATTAACTATATCCAGTCTCCCTGGACCCTGCATTCACTATATCCGGTCTCCCCAGACCCTGCATTTATTATATCCAGTCACCCCGGACAGAGCATTCACTATATTCGGTTTCCCCAGACCCTGCATTCACTATATCCGGTCTCCCCGGACCCTGCATTCACTATATCTGGTCTCCCCGGACCCTGCATTCACTATATCTGGTCTCCCCAGACCCTGCATTCACTATATCCGCTCTCCCCAGACCCTGCATTCACTACTATATCCAGTCTCCCCGGACCCTGCATTCACTATATCTGGTCTCCCGGACCCGGCATTCACAATATCTGGTCTCCCCGGACCCTGCATTCACTATACTGTATCTGGTCTCCCCACACCCTGCATTCACTATATCTGGTTTCCCCGGACCCTGCATTCACTATATCTGGTCTCCCTGGACCCTGCATTCACTATATCTGGTCTCCCACAGTACACACAACATGGAAATGCAATTATTTTAGTAAATATAAACTGCTAAATACCTTTCTTCATCAGCTGTGAGAGTAGTCTTGTGACTTCCATCAGCGTCCTGCTAAGCACTGCTTAAAGCTTGTAGGAGGTTTTCATTTTGCCCGAGGAGGATGCAGAACCCTTGACCTCTATGTGGACAATGCTGATTGGCCCTGTGCTGATGACATGCACTCTCCCAAGAAAAAAAAAACTCTCTAGCCCACACACCCCAAACTGAACAAAGTTAATGCCCCCCCCAAATAAACCCCCCAAAAACAAACAAACAAAAAGGGGGGGCTCGATGAACCACTCGGCATTTTTCTGCCATCACTTTTCTATGTTTCTATGTCCTTGTGGCTGTTTTTTTCATATTTGCCTATCTTCTTCCTGCCTCTGTGCCACCTGGGGGCCTGATTCTACGCCGCCATTTTCAAAGCTTTATTGCATACTGCACTTGTGCAAGATGGATTTACCCCCCTTCCTGACCAGGCCATTTTTTGCGATACAGCGCTGCATTACTTTAACTGACAATTGCGCGGTCATGCAACACTGCACCCCAATTTATATGTCCTTTTTTCTCCATAAATGGAGCGCTCTTTCTGTGGTATTTGATCGCCTCTGTGTTTTTTATTTTTTGCACTATAAACAAAATAGACCGACAATTTTGAGAAAAAAAAAACTATATTTTTGACTTTTTGCTATTAAAAATGTCTAGTGAGAAAATTTTAAAAATCAAATTTTGTCATAAATTTAGGCCAAAATGTACAGTGCATCCAGACAGTATTCACAGCGCTGGACTTTTGCCACATTTTGTCATGTTACAGCCTTATTCCAAAATGGATCAAATTAATTTTTTTCTTCAACATTCAAACAATACCCCATAATGACAACGTGAAAGTAGTTCGTTTTGAAATCTTTGCTATTTATTAAAAATAAAAAAAAACTAAAAAAAAACACATGTACATAAGTTTTTGCTTAATGCTTTGCTGAAGCACCTTTAGCACCAATCACAGCCTCAAGTCATTTGGAGTATGATGCTACAAGCTTGGCACACCTATTTTTGGGTAATTTCTTCCATTCTTCTTTGCAGTACCTCTCAAGCTCCATCAGGTTAGATGGGGAGCATCGGTGCACAGCCATTTTCAGATCTCTCCAGAGATGTTCAATAGGGTTCAAGTCTGGGCTCTGGCTGAGCCAATCCAGGACATTCACAGAGTTGGCCTGTAGGCACTCCTTTGTTATGTGGGCTGTGTGCTTAGGGTCGTTGTCCTGTTGGAACATGAACCGTCGCCCCAGTCTAAGGTCCAGAGCACTCGAACAGGTTTTCATCAAGGATGTCTCTGTACATTGCTGCATTCATCTTTCCTTCAAACTTGACTAGTCTCCCATTTCCTGCCACTGAAAAACCTCCCCACAGCATGATGCTGCCACCACCATGCTTCACTGTAGGGATGGTATTGGCCAGGTGGTGAGCGGTGCCTGGTTTCCTCCAGATATGATTCTTGGCATTCAGGCCAAAGAGTTCAATCTTTGATTCATCAGACAAGAGAGTTTTGTTTCTCATGGTCTTAAAAAGTCCCTCAGGTGCCTTTTGGCAAACTCCAGGCGGGCTTCCATTTGCCTTTTACTGAGGAGTGGCTTCCATCTGGCCACTCTACTATACAGGCCTGATTGGTGGAGTGCTGCTGAGATGGTTGTTCTTCTGGAAGGTTCTCCTCTCTTCACAGAGAAATTCTGGAGCTCTTTCAGAGTGACCATCGGGTACTTGGTTACCTCCCTGGCTAAGGCCCTTCTCTGTTGATCGCTGATTTTGGCCGGGCGGCCCGCTCTAGGAAGATTCTGATGGTTCCAAACTTCTTCCATTTACGGATGATGGAGCCCACTGTGCTCATTGGGACCTTCGATGCTGCAGAAATTGTTTTGTACCCTTCCCCAGATCTGTGCCTTGATAAAATCCTGTCTCGGAGGTGTACGGACAATTCCTTGGACTTCATGGCTTGGTTTGTGCTCTGACATGCACTGTTAACTGTGGGACCTTCTATAGACAGGTTTATGCCTTTCCTAATCATGTCCAATCAACTGAATTTCCCACAGATGGACTCCAATCAAGTTGTGGAAACATCTCAAGGATGATCAGTGGGAACAGGATGCACCAGAGCTCAATTTTGAGTGTCATAGCAAAGGCTGGGAATACTTATATACATGTGTTTTTTTTTTCGTTTTTTAATTTTAATAAATTGAAAAGATTTCAAAATGAACTTCTTTCACATTGTCATTATGGGGTATTGGTTTGTAGAATGTTGAAGAAAAAAAAAAATTTAATCCATTTTGGAAAAAGGCTGTAACATAACAAAATGTGGCAAAAGTTAAGCGCTGTGGTAGGGCAGAGGACAGCGGCACAGCTCCTTCTCCCATCCCTGCACTGCACACAGCCTGGTCATAGGCAGCAGAGCTCCTCCTCCCCACACAACGCATAACTGAGGTCATTTTAGTGTCAGGTTTGGGTACTATAGTGTCAAACTAGGGCGGTAAAGTATCAGATTAGGGTAGTATAATGGCAGTATAGAGACAGCCTACGCCAGCATCCCCCTAGATCCAGCAATGTATGAGTAGATCTATCTACTACAATGACTTCCAGCTTCTATGGCGCCCTACCAGTTATAGCACATGCATACTTAAATTGGTCCACGTTGCACCAATGTAACTTTCAAAAATATCTATACTTAAATTTTAGCTTTAAATACTCATAACCCTTATAATAAAACCAATTTAGTTTCCCTTCATGTTATTTTTACTTTGCAGTCATACAACGTTCAAACAATTTCACACAAAAAGCCTGCGTGTGTAACTGTGACAAATGTACTTTCTGTACTGGAAATGTCGTTTCAATATTACTAGGTACCTCTGCATGGAGTTAGCAGCTGTGGAACCAACTTTCATATGAAATTCTGGTGAGAATCATAATTTTTTTAACGGTCCTAAAGTGTATGTGAACCTTTACAACCCATTCAGATGAAAATAGAAATGAAAGGTAAAACGTTTTTATATACAAGTACTGTGCAAAATATTTAGGCAGGTGTGAAAAAATGCTGTAAATTAAAAATGCTTTCAGAAACAGAAGTATTAATAGTTTATCAAGTTAATTTCTAACAAAATGGAAAATAAATAAACAGAAGATCCAGATCAATAGACATGTGCAGAATGAAAAAATTAGTTTAGTTTCGGATCAATTCGTTAAGTTAAAGTGCCATGGAAAAGTATTCATACACCTTGAAATTTTCCACATTTTGCCATGTTACAGTTTATTCAAAAACGTAAATGTATGTTATTGGGATTTTATGTGATAGACCAACACAAAGTGGCACATAATTGTAAAGTGAAAGGAAAATTATACATTATTTTCCAAATTTTGTACAAATAAATATCTGAAAAGTGTGGCGTGCATTTGTATTCAGCCCCCCTAACTAAAATCTAGTGGAACCCACTGCCTTCAGACGTCACCTGATTAGTAAATAAGAGTCCACCTGTGTGTAGTTTAATCTCAGTATAAATCCAACTGTTCTGTGAAGCCCTCAGAGGTTTGTTAGAGAATATTAGTGAACAAACAGCATCACAAAGGCCAAGGAACACACCAGACAGGTCAGAGATAAAGTTGTGGAAAAGTTTAAAGCAGGGTTAGGTTATAAAAAATATCCCAAGCTTTGAACATCTCACAGAGCACTGTTCAATCCATTATCCAAAAATGGAAATAGTATGGCACCACTGCAAACCTACCGAGACATGACCATCCACCTAAACTGACAGGCTGGACAAGGAGAGCATTCATCAGAGAAGCAGCCAAGAGGCCCATGGTAACTCTGGAGGAGCTGCAGAGATCCACAGCTCAAGTGGGAGAATCTGTCCACAGGACAACTATTAGTCGTGCACTCCACAAATCTGGCCTTTATGGAAGAGTGGCAAGAAGAAAGCCATTGTTGGAAGAAAGCCATAAGTCCTGTTTGCAGTTTGCGAGAAGCCATGTGGGGGACACAGCAAACATGTGGAAGAAGGGGCTCTGGTCAGATGAGACCAACATTGAACTTTTTGGCCTAAGAGCAAAACGCTATGTGTAATGGAAAACTAACACTGCACATCACCCTGAACACACCATCCCCACCATGACACATGGTGGTGGCAGCATCATGTTGTGGAGATGCTTTTCTTCAGCAGGGACAGGGAAGCTGGTCAGAGTTGATGGGAAGATGGATGGACCCAAATACAGGGCAATCTTAGAAGAAAACCTGTTAGAGTCTGCAAAAGACGTGAGATTGTTGGGGAAGGTTCATATTCCAACAGGACAACAACCCAAAACATACAGCCACAGCTACAGTTACAATGGAATGGTTTAGATCAAAGTATATTCATGTGTTAGAATGGTCCAGTCACAGTCCAGACCTAAATCCAATAGAGAATCTGTGGAAAGACTTGAAAATTGCTGCTCACAGACGCTCTCCATCCAATCTGACAGAGCTTGAGCTATTTTGCAAAGAAGAATGGGCAGAAATGTCCCTCTCTAGATGTGCAAAGCTGGTAGAGACATCCCCAAAAAGACTTGCAGCTGTAATTGCAGAGAAAGGGGGTCCTACAAAGTATTGACTCCGGGGGGGCTGAATACAAATGCCGCCACACTTTTCACAGATTTATTTGTAAA